TCATCCTCATTCCCGTCCTCATCCTCATACGTCTCATCATCTGGTTCATCGTCATCCTGATAATAATAATAATAATAAATAATCATGCTCGTAATCATCATAACATACAAAACAACAACGACATCACGGGGCACATCCTTAGCCCAGTGCTGCTAACCATGCAGTCTCGTCAAACTCGCGCATCATCGTCATCATCATCATCATCATCATCATCATCATCATCATCATCATCGTCATTGCCATCCTTGCCATCAGTGCCATTAGCATCAGCATTATGATCACCATCATCACCAGCATCATCCTCGTCATCGCCATACTCATCAACATCAAAATCAGCATCATCACCAGCATCATCATCCTTATGCTCACCTTCATCAAGAGCATCATCATCGCCATCATCCTCATTCATCATCCTCATCCTCATGCTCAACATCATCATCATGATGATCCGCATCATCATCATAAGCCTTATCACCATGCCCATCATAAGCATCATCTTCATTCTCGCTCACATTACTATCATCGCCAACGCCGCTACGCAAATAGTGCACATCGTCACTGTCATCGTCTTACCCGTCTCCCTCCTCATCATCACCATAATGATAATCAACATCGTCATCGTCGACGTCGACCCGATGTTACCGGAGAGGCCTTCTGAAACATCTGGCCGACTTCGCGCCTCGGGTAGCCTCTTGGAGCGTTTGGGGGGGTGGGCGGGCTCCTGGAATTTGTTTGAAGGTTCTCTCGGGCCCTCTTCTGTCCTTTCTGGAGCCCAGGCCATCTGGAGACATATGGGTGCCTGAGGGACGGACCCATCGAAAGCGAAAAGGCGAGTTCTTTAGAGCCTGTAGTTTCCCATTAGATCGTGAATGAATTGCACGTCCTGCTGGACTCTTGGACGCCTCTTGGAAGCATCTGGGAGGCCTCTTAGGGGCCTCTTGGTGCTGCCATTGGGCCTCGATGGGGGCTTCGCAAGCAGTCTCAGGGCGCCTTTGGCCCGTCTGGTCGGGCTGGTCTGCTCGAGGTCACTTGGGTCGTTTTGGGAAGCTTTTGACGAATCTTGGAACCGTCTTGGTGGCCCCTGGGGCTCCTCGTGGGGCTCTCTCGGGCAAGTTGGGGGCTCTCCAACAGCCTAAGAGGCGGCCACCGGATTGAAGAGGAGTCAGAAGCATCACTGATCGTCACCATCATGGTTACCTTCACCATCCTCATCAGCAACAACATCCTCAACATCGTCACCATCACCGTCATCAGAATCGGCATCGTTCCCATCATCAAAATCAACATCACCATGAGCACCATGGACCACATTAGCATCGTTATCATCACCACCAACACCATCATGAACATCATGATGATACTGATGCTCATCATCATCACCATCACCATCATCAACCGGGTCAGTAGCATCATCATCATAACAATCATCACCATCATCATCGGCTGCATCAGCGCCACCACCAACATCACCATCACCATCACCATCACCATCACCATCACCATCACCATCACCATCATCATCATCACCATCATCATCATCATCAACAGCATGATCATCATAACCATCATCAGTCGCATCATGATCATCACCATCACCACTATCATCATTCACATCATCATCGCCACCATCGCACTGACCATCAGCATCAACATCCACATCATCCGTATCATCCGCATCAGCATCATCAACATCATCAGCAGCAGCATCAACATCACCATCACCATCACCATCACCATCACCACCATCACCATCACCATACCATCACCATCACCATCACCATCACCATCACCATCATCATCATCATCACCATCATCATCACCATCATCATCAACATCATCATCATCATCATCACCACCATTCCATCACCATCACCATCATCATCAACATCATCGTCGATATCATCGTCAGCACCGTGATCCTCCTTATCATCGCAACCATAAGCGCCAACATCGGATTCACGAGCCTCGTGGGCACCTCTTTGTCCGTCCTGGAGGCCTCAAGGAGGCCTCTTGGAAGCCTCTTGGGAGCCTGGTGTGGCGAGGGCTGCATCATCGGAATCGTAATCAGCATCAGCATCGTAATCCTCCTTATCATCGCAACCATGAACATCCAAATCGTCGTCATGATCACGTGTAATGGAATTCGCATCTCCGCCGTGGACCAGATGTTCCCGGAGAGGCCCCCTGGGAGCGTCGGGCCTGCTGCGTGCGAGGGCCTCGGACGGGCCCTCGGGAGTGTAGGAGTCTCGCACCAGGTCGGATGCGCACCTCGGGGAGCGCTGTCGAGGTGTGGGGGGCTCGGCACGGGCCTGCGGAAAGCTTGCCGAAGCTCCCTGCGTGCCCGTGAGTCTCTCGGGGTCTCTCGGAGTCCCGCTTCGGGGCGCCTCCAGGAGCGTCGTGATGATCATCACGATCAGGCTTTGTCGGGTAATGTATAGCGTGTCAGAGCATCGACTTTGGGCCCCTTGCTGGGAGGCCAGAATTCCCGCGCGACCTCGGGCAGGGGGCTGACAGACCAGACAGGCTTGGGCGCACAGGCAGAGATCCCTTGAGGACGGTGGTGGGGAAGACGGAGGGAGCCGAACAACTATGGAGAGCAAAGATTGGGGCGCTCCCCCATGTTATTACCAATCTCCGCTAAAGATGCACCATGTTTAGAGACCCTCTTCCCGCGCCAAGCTTTGAAAGATCGTGTATGGCGCGTCAGAGCGTCGACGTTCGGCCAGAATTCCCACGCCCGACCTATGCTCGCCGTTTGGGCTGGCGGCGGGGCCCAAGCGGCGAACTCTCCTCCTCGTCCTCCTGGTGTGCTCCTCCTCTCCTCCTGCGCCCTCCTGTCAGTGTGCCAACGCTCTCTCTCGAACTCCTGGTGCATCAACCCCAGATGAAAAAAAAGACGCATGCCCCTGCAACACCATGGAAATCGTCCTCGACTGTCATTGTTTTTTTTGCACCGATGAGCCCGCGTCAAAACGCCGTACTCCGCCACGCGCATCACATGAATAACACCTGTACCACTTTATCGCTTTAACGTGCCACGCGCTTGACCGTTCATGCAATACGGTGGTTTTATTTCCTCTCCGTTCCTCCCGATCCATCCGTCTTTCGTATAACGAACTCCTCTCTGTCGCACCACCAGGCGTGTCCGTAGGAAAGGTCAGGCGTTTCGCTTGAGACTTGCTTGCAACTTATTCTTTTATTTCAGGCAGCGGAACTCGCAGATCACCACATGCAGCCCATCTCGGTGACAAAACAATTCTGCAAACACACGGTGCGAGAAAATGGCGCAAATAGACGGACTCGGCGCACAGGAATTCCAGCCTACCAGAGCAGCCTCAGGAGACGGAGGAGCGCGCTCGCCAAGAGAGGGGCACACGGATAAGAAGGTCAGATGACACGCCAGGTGCGCCCTTCAAAGAAGATATTAAGCAAAGCGACGGGGTGCACCTGCAATGCCACAGACAATGCTCACAAAGTGAAGTGGCCGAAAAGAATGAGCTGCTGAACCCTCGCTCCCGTATGGCGTTGGATTGATCTCGGGGCAGCTCTGCTATGCTGACGCTCGTGCCAAGCAGGTTATATACACCAAACAGCAGATCAATGTACAAAACGATCGACTGGATGACCTCTACGGGGCGCGCATCACACGCATATTTTCTTGGGCCGGCAGCCAGCAGGAGCGAGGAACGGGAAGGAGCAAGGGAAGAGCAATGGACACCTGCGAAAAACCAAGGTACTCGCGAATGTGGTGCAGCGAGTCTCCATCACGCGCGCCGCTTGCAAGACATGGCAGCTCCGCGCCTCGGAACGTCTTGAGCAGAGACGAGAGGGCGCACGGTGGGAACAACGCTCCTCAGGAGAAGGAGGAGGATGAAGAGGAAGGAGGATGAGCGGGGGGAACTGGAAATCACATTGTGGGTGCACCCCCAGCGGCTGCAGCGGTCCAACCGACCATGTATACCATCTGGCGTCACACATCGGAAAAGACAGGGACACATGCGCCGTAGAGCACATGCGACGCCGAATCTGTAATGGCAAAATCCAGATTCCAATCACGCCGAGGGAAGAAGCCTGTGAAGGAAGGAAAAGGGCAGGGAGGAACATAGCGGAGAGGGAGAGGACAAGTCAAACGAGGGCAAGACTTGCCAGTCAGCACGTTGGACGCAGGCACTCTCCAACTGATGTGTTACATGAAACTGAAAAGGTGCCACTCCGGCCACCACCTCTTTACGCGATGGGCACGCGAACCATGAGACGGCAGCAGGGCGAGCCCAGAGCACCGTGGCTCCGAGGTGTGCCGTCTACACTTAAACCTTGTACCAAGTCAACGGATGGAGGGCGCTACTTTTCCGAAATGTGGCTCTCGCCTTAGCGCCGCGACCATTCGTCCTTACAACATCCATTTACCTGGGAGAATAGTGGTGCCATTTGAATCTGGCTCTCCCCGTAGCGCCGCGCATGCTCGTTTCAACCATGTCCAACATTCGCACGCATGAAGACCACAACGAAAGGATAATCGGTCAAGCGCTCCCAGATGGAGGGCAATTCCTTTTCAAAGTGGAGCGCTCGCCTGAGACCTTACGAGGCTGTATGACCCGGGCGTAAGCTTTGGCGACAGCTGCACGGATGGAGCGCGGTTCCTTTTCAAATCGGCGCCGTCGCTGGGCAACTCCTTCAATGACCTGATCGCATGCCTTACAGCACGAAGGCTGGAAGGCTAATTCCTTGAAAGCGGGGCTCCCGCCTGAATCGTGGGCCCATGGGGTGCTCGTCTTTCGAAAGGAGCGCTTCGAGCAGTGAGGATTCATGCCTGTAGGGACTAATGAGGGGGGAATCGGGACGGGAGGGTTATGTTGCAAAAACGTTGGTACATCTTGCTCCTCATCCTCATCATCATCCGTCCTCTCCTCCCTCACTGCCACTCCCGCCTACTGCATCGTGGAAGAACGGATGAGGGGCGGAACGAGGAGGAACGACTTCTCTCCCGAATCCCCTTGGACCTGAGGGCACCAGTGAATTTGTAGTCCCAAATTCCCTTGAACGCCCGGGGCAGCGTCAACCTGCGGCGCGGCATGGCAACACAATCTGAGCTCGAGGCCCCGACTTGCGATGAACCATCTTGCGCATTTCGGCCAACCAAGCTGGAATTTATGACACAAGCAGTTGCGTATGAGACGTGCTACCATGCTCTCTCGTGCAAGCTACTCCTAATCAACATGGCTTTCTGGGCGACTCTGATACTGTCTGGAAACGCAACCTTGAATATAACATGCATGCTTGAAGTTTCACGATTCCTGAATGGATCGGCTCTTGATTTCTCGCGACAGCGACCATTACTTATCCTCCCCCTGCTCCACACCCACCCACTTACCATTGCACATCATGCTACCTCACTCACAGTTCCACTGTTGCTCACACTGCCATCCTGCACCATCTGCTCTCTCTCTCTCTCTCAATCGCTTTCTTTCGTTTGTTTAGTTCTCTCTTCCTCCCTCTCCCTCTCTCCACATCTGCATCCTGCCACCTATACTCCTCAAACTTTCTGTGGCGTGGGCTGCACAAAGCACCCTGTGATGTACTAGGGCTCGGGATCATTGGCAGCGCGATAAGCCAACATTCACACTCTGCGTTTCTTCAGGCACGTCGTCGAGAACCGCAGAGGCAATCGAACGCATTGTGGATTTGGGCTGATTGGCTGCGCAATCGGAGACAACACCTCATGCCGGTGACGCACGAACCCTGGTCAATCCAAATCTGGGTCGGCCAGGGCCCTGTTGCGAAGCCCAACTGGTCGGCTGGTGGCTTCCAAACTCAGGTCAACGGAGAGCGGAAACGGGGGACGTGGCTCCCAAACCCAGGTCCCAGAGGGCATTGGCTGACCCACGTTAGCAAGAACCCCCGTTTCGGGTGTTGCTAAAAGTACCCCTGGCCCAAGGTGCCCGCAGCTTTTCGCTCCATTTTGGAGCCCCTGGGCCCTCGTGAGGGGTGCTTTGGAGGCCGTTTGGGCTACCCCGAAGACCCTGGGGGCACCTTGGCCCAGGGGCACTTCTAGCAACACCCGACCCTTTCGTGAGCCCTGATCATGGCTGGCTCTTGGCATTCCGGAAAACGCGAACAGACGCGAAGAATCGACATGTCTCGCCTCCAGGGGCTCCGCGTGGACCCGCCGAACGCCCACGAGCCATCCGTCTGCCCAAGCACCGTGGAGTCCACCCGTGCATGCGCAAGCTACGCGCTTCACCGCCCGTGTTTCGGGAGTCCCGCCACGCACCGAGGGGCGATCCCTCCCTCCCTCCCTCCCTCCCTCCCTCCTCCTCCTCCTCCTCCTCCCTCCTTCCTTCCCTCCCTCCATGCCTCCTTCCCTCCCTCCCTCCTTCATTCCCCCTCTCCCTCCCTCCCCCTCGCTCTGTGGTGAGCTTTCGCCGGTCTCGCCGGCTCGTCAGACTGGCCTGGGCAAAACCAGCTATGATACGGCCTTCCCTCTTGCCAACACGGGCGCGCAGGAGCGAAGAGGGGACTTGGCGGCGGCACTTCATGACCTGCGGCGCCCTGGGTCCAGGTTGCGGTCGGGCTACAACAAGGCTGCGGTTGAGCTCATCTGGCGCGAAAGCGGAAAGAGCGGCGGGAGGGAAGGGGGGGATGGCGAGGGCCGACGACGGCCGGAGCGCCCTCAGAGCGTGAAACACGTCAGGTTGCGCCGAGCAGGCTCAAGTCCTCGAAGCTGTCGGCGCGTCCCAGCCAGCGGCCAGCACATCCAGGCAAAGGAGGTGAGTCGTGCAAGGGCCACGTGAGATGCAGTAGTGTGGAGAAGTCGAGGCGGCACACGTGCGCAGGAAATCCCATCAGCCCTGCGGGCGAAGGTGATTTAACGGGTTTCCTCCCCCATCTTCCCTCTTCCCCTTCGGCGAGGTGTCTGTCACTGTTTCTGATTCGTGTGCACCCCCTTCCCCATCGAACCGGCGACAAACCTGGGACCATGCGGACCCCCCCCCACCAGCCGATGCAAAAAACAATGTGACGTGCACTTTGCACTAAAATCTGCATCATCCGCGGACACCCCGCGATCACTTTGGATTGGTCTCTAACAGCGACGGCGGGGGTGCCGGCATATTGCCTGCTGTGTGCAACGTCAACACCCCCCACCATCACTTGAAGCAAAAACGCTACAGGACACTTTGCACCAACATATGGATCATGCGTGGGGGCCCAGCGATCGTTTTGTACGGGCTTTTGAAAGGGACGGCGGGGGTGCCAGCACATTGCCTCCGGTGTGAATGCCATCCCCCCTCCACCACCCCTTGCAACAAACAAAACAGTACACGGTGCACTTTGCACCCAAATCTGGATCATGCGCGAACGCCCCACGATCACTTCACTTTGCATTGGTTCCCAACCATCCTCTGGTGTTGGGTCCTCGTTTCCTCCTCTCCTCCTCCTCCTCCTCCTCCTCCTCCTCCTCCTCCTCCTCCTCCTCCTCTTCCTCCTCCTCCTCCTCCTCCTCCTCCTCCTCCTCCCCTATCCTTGCCTCTGCCCTTCGCATATCTCTGTTTCGACACACCCCTCACACGTTTCGTGGTCACAGGGAGCTCCACCGAAGCCCGAAGTGGCTGCGTTCGCATGCGCCCGCCGCACCAATTTCGGCACACGCCTCACACGTTTCGTGACCCCCGTAGGGAGCTCCACCCAAGGCCCCAGTGGCTGCGTTCGCGTGCGCCCGAAGCACCAATTTCGACAAACCCCTCACACGTTTCGTGACCCCATAGGGAGCTCCACCGAGGGCCACAATGGCTGCGTTCGCATGCGCCCGGCGAGCCCATTTCGGCACACCCCTTACACGTTTCGTGGCCTGATAGGAAGCTCCACCGAAAGAAACAGTGGCAGCGTTCGCATGCGCCCGCCGCACCCTTTTCGGTACACTTCTCACACTCTTCGTGGCCCCATAGGGAGCTCCACCGAAGGCCTCAATGGCTGCTTTCGCATGCGCCCGCCGCACCCATCTCGGCACACCCCTCACACATGTCTTGGCCCAGTGGGACTCACAACTTCATATGGTTGGGTCCTTCGCCAAGCTAATTTCTTATATGGGCGGCGGGGGTGGGGGGGCAACATGCCTGCTGTGTGCAGGCAGACTGTCCCTGTCACAAACCAATGTGAAGTGGTTGCGGGTGCACACACAGATGCGATACATAATGCTCGCAAGTCCGCCGTCACGTTGCATGGGTTTTTGACAGCGATGGTGGGGCGGTCGGGCGGTCGACATATTGCCCAATGTCACACGCCTGGTGCGCGTGGCGCACTTAGCACGTGCGGCGAACCTCGCGGGCGTCGCGCACCTGGCTGGCGTCTGCATTGTCCCCGATGGTTGTCGATGGCAACCATTGCCTGTGCTGAGACGTGGGTGTTACCTATGTAGTGGGAGGGCGGGTGGGTATCAGCGACGCGGCTTGCGCCTTGGGGTAGCTTGACCACGGTCCCCTAGTAATAAACAGCCACTCGCCCGCCCGACCAGCAGCCAATCCAGACCTGTTGACTGTTGAAAAACAAAACGAATATGTGCACCCCCCAACTATCCCTGTTGAGAAACAAAGCGAATGTACACTTTGCTTACAACGCACCCCCAGCACCCGTTGAAAAAACACATGCAACATACACTTTGCACGAACATCTGGATCATGTTGGCTTTTGACAAACGGGGGTGCCGGCGTACTGCCTGCTGTGTGCAGGTCCACCGAACAAATGCATATCGATCGTGGGTGCACACCCGCACGCAACAAACCCGCCGTCACTTTGCATCGGCTCTTGACAGGGACGGTGGGAGGGCTGACATATTGCCCAAAATGGCGCATCTGGTGCGCGTGGCGCAGCTTGCAAGTGCGGCGCACCTCGCGGGCGTCGCGCACATGGCTGGCGCTTGCATCGGTCCCCCATGATTGTCGATGGCGGCCTGTCCATGCTGAGACTCGGGTGCTACTGATGGGCTGGGAGGGCGGGTGGGAATGAACGAGACGGTTTGTTGCTTGTGGGTAGATGGACCACTGCATCCTGTGAATGAACTTCCCCTCCCCCAAACAACAAGCAGCCAACCCGAATCAATGACCCCACCGCCCACCATCCCTGTCAAAAAACAATACACATTCACAGTTGGCAGAATCTCGGGTCATGCTCGTTGGCCCCGCGCGCAATTTGTTGTGCTTTTTGATAGGGACGGCGGGGGGGGCCCTCATACTGCTTACCTGCAGTGCGCAGGGCCACCACCCCTGCCAAAGAAAAATACAAACTGCACTTCGCAGCTAGATTAAAATCGTGTGCGGCCACCCCGGGATCACTGTCCATTGACCTTTGAAAAGGACGGCGGGGGTGCTGGCATATTGCCTGGTGCCTGGTGGGTGCAGGCCCGCCAGACACCATGATGGCCTCCCCGCCGCGATTGCGCATTGGCTTTTGACATGGATGGTAGGGTCTGGCATGTTTCCCGATGTGTGCTGTCACATGCACTGGCGCACCTGGCACACTCTGCGCATGCCCGGAACGTGGCGCACCTTGTGCGGCTGGAGCATGCGGCACACATGGCGCACGTGGAGCACGTGGCGCATGCGGCGCGCCCGCGTGCCTGGCACGCTTGGGCCCCAGGGGTGCCTGGTGCACCTACGCGTTGCGCACCTCGTCCCAGCGTCTGGCAAAGGGGGTGTGTGTTGGTGATGAAAGGTTTCGCGAGGGGTTGGAGCGTCAAAGATGGCCCAAGATGGCTTCGAGATAGCCTCAAGGAGCCGAAGATGACCTCCGAGATGGCATAATGCTCAAGGTGGGTTGCAACATGCCCCGAAAGGCCCCAAGGCCGCCTTAAGACGGCTCCAAGTGGCCACGGAGCCTCCCAAGGAAACCACGCAGAGGCCGAGCACCTTCGAACAACCATGGTAAACCGATGTGGTTTATCTTCTAGCCGCTTCGCTTCGGTCCTCCGAGGCCTCAAGACGGCTCCAATAACGCCCAAGAGAGCCCCAAGAGGAGCCCGAGAGGGTCCCAAGACGGCCGCAAGAGCGCTCCAAGAGGGGTTTAAGAG